GATGTCCAAATCCATTGAGAATTCATCAGGGCTCATCTCTGTGACTAAACCCAGCACAGCCTTCAGTTTGTTATGCTTCACCAACATCACGTTGAAGTTGTTCTCCAGTAAGTACTCATAAACAAGAACAATCCTTGTCTGGCCCAAGTGGCACACGCGTCTGACTGCCTGATTGACAACAGCCTTTGACATACCAGGAGAGAAGAGGTGGACATTGCAACAGAGGTTCTGCAGGTTCAGGCCCATCACATTAACACCATAGCTGCAGACCAACACAGAGCATGAGGCTGGATCTTGTGTGAACTGCTTGATGAGTACAGAATGCTCATGAACACTGAGTCCTGCATGAAAAACCCTTGCATCAAAGTTGGCCTCCACAAGGGTGGCAGCAACATACACCTGTTCAGCTGGAAACTGTGTCCACACAATTGCTTTCTCCCCATGTATAATCACCTGGTCACAAAGGATGGGTAGCATGGCTTGCATCTTCGGGCTTCCATGCAGCAGGAACTCCAGGCACCAGGTCTGTCATTGATTGGTGAGAGATGAGGCATGTTTAAAAAAGTGCGCCATAGCCATTTTGTTCACCACTGCCATTTCTTTGATGGCGCTGGCCATGAACAGGGCAACCTGATGAGTCTTGAGCTTAGCAATGGTGACAGGGATACTTTGCGCCTCCAGGGAAGATTCAACATAGTGCATGCCAAGCCATGAACTCAAGAGCATCAACATCCAGAGCTTCTGCATATTATAAATGAACTTATTCCAGTCCACTGGCGAACGTGTGAAGAGACCCTTGTGTAGGTTTGAAGCAAGATCACTGAACATCTCATCCTCAGGCTTGAAGAATTTCACATTTATCACCTTGTGTTCAATTGGAGGGATATCAGCACCAATCAGTGTCAGTGAGTCAAATGGAATTCAAGAGGTGAGGTTACACCTGATCATCAGATGCTTCAATACCAGACAAAAATGATCCCCTGACACATTCAGTGCCACTTCCTGATTCAGTACATATTTCTCAATGGCTTCAACGCTACAGCGCAGCTTCGCCCTGGGATGGTCCTCAGGCAGTTCAAAAACATTCTGTTCTGTCAATACGCTGAGCGTGGTCCAATCAGTATGGGTCCAAATAGACGGCGTTGTAAACAGCAGGGGCATATAGCCATGCATGTCATCACAGGAATTGTACAACAGGGTGGCTGAGAGCAGGAGGTGAAACAATGCAGCTAACCAATACACAGCTCATGTTTGAGAGGACGTCAGGTTGCGGAGGCTATGCGCTTCATCCAGGATGACATCATGGAAGCATTCCTGTATATTGAAAGGGAAATCAGAGGGAGGGCGCGCCGC